AGGCCTCAGCTCAGCCCCAGCGCCCAGAACGGCTTCCAGCGACAGGGTCTCGCTGGAGATGCCTTACCAGCACAACCGAGCACTAACTTGTGTAAATGGCTGGGAGCACTGCTGGGCAGCACACAGCTGGCTGTGTCTGGCCAAGTGGGCAGACCTTCAGGTAGTCTGCCCTTAGGTCCACTGTCCCTCATTGAACTGTGTGTTGTCACCGTCACAAAAAGGGAGTCCTCCTCCCCTGAATATCTGGTTGGTGCAGGGGACTGGAGCTCTGGAAGAGACTGGGAAGAGATCCTTGAGGTTTCTTAACCCAGAGAAATCTCAGTTTCTGGTGCTCCCTGGCTATGAGCTTGGTTACTTGGCACTTCTCCGCAGAGAGTTCATCATCCTTCAAGCACAAAGCTTGAAACATCTCAGGGCAAGGGCCTGCTCGTGACAGAGACATGCACAGTGGTAGTTTGTTGTGTGCTTTGCAAAGGGCATTCAGTGCATGAGGGGTTAAGAAGCAAGGAAGACTTTTATGCAGGACCCATAATATCCACAAGTCTGATCTTGTTTAAAACATTTTCTTTAATAATTTGAGCAAGGTTTTATGTAGCAGTGAATCATGAGTCTCTGTATGTCATACCTAGTAATTACTGTTAAGATTTTATTTACAGTGTTGACATTCAGTCTTGAGAGCATTGTGCACAAAGTCCCTGGCTCGGTGCTGTCTGCTGCAAGCTACAGGTGTAAGAAGTCAGAGTAGGGGTGCTGATTTATGGCTTTTCCAGCCCAGCTGCAGCAGCAACCAGACGCCATCTAAATCCCATGAGTTTACTTCAGGGATGCTGCATTTCGAATAATGATTAATTTAGAAATGTTTTGGCTGGGATTGCTGGGCTGAGGTCAGCTTCAGGCTCCCTACCTCTGAGGTCAAGTTGCAGGTGGATTTGACTTTCCTTCCTCCCAGCTCTCCATTTGGATGGGCTTTGATGTGGGAACTGGGTTGGTTTGGTGTCTTAGATCTGCTTTCAGTTTCTGGTCTCTCATCTGAGATTGGGTTTAGGTTCTTGTCATTGGTGTTGGGATTCTCATTGGCATTCTTGCAGGACTCAAACCAGGGTGTTATGTCAAGCCAATTTGGTGATTTTGGGTTGAAGGTCAGCAGCAATTCCAATCATAGGTCCTTTCTCAGATGTTTAAGGGGTTCCTTAATCCCTCTTAATATAAGCTGGAAAAGGAGGGGAAGGGAAGTCTGCAAATACAGATGTGGGTTCACAGATACAGGTTCAACCCTTTTCTAAGTCGCAATCCTGTTTCACTAGTGATGGTGAAAGCACCTTCTGGCATCTAGGGGAGCCCAAGCTGGCCTGCGCTCTCCCAGGAGTAGCTCCACTCCTTCTGACCAAGGGCTTGTGCTAATTATATACGTAGCTAATTACATATGTGTGGCAACACCAGCACTTCCAAAGTGTTGGGGACTCCCCTGCTGCCTCAGGAGCATGGCGGGCAGCCCATGGGCCTGTTTCCATCCATCCCCTCAGCATCTCGAGCAAATCAGCAGTACCAGTCAGCAGACTTAGTGGCTGGTGAGCACTCTCCCTGTCCTGCTCTCCCTCTAACAGTGCCCACACACATCAGGAGACCCAGACCTCCCCACCGTCGCTCATAGACCCAGGGGTGAGCAGCAAGTGGCAGCAGGGAGAAAGTAGGCTTATATGTGTGTGTGTGTGTGTGTTGGTATCAGAGAAACACAGAGAATTTTTGGCCTCTTATATGCACAGATCCTGGATTAGTTTGTAATAGAGCTGGAGCTGGAGGGAAATTAGATGCCAATGCTGAATAAAGTGGTTTTGACAGACAGGAAAGATTATAAGTCATTTTGATCCTACTGAGCATGAATGTGAGGGGGGAAAAAAAAAAAAGACCATGAATGGCAGAAGCAGCTCAGTGAACGTTTCAGGGACTTCACCCAGCAACAGCCACTTCAGCAGTATTGGAGAGTAGGAGCTTGTTTCCCTTTGCTGGAAAGAGCTTCTTCCTGACTTAGTGATGTCTATTCAGGTCAGGCTCAGTTCTCCTCTGCCTTCTCTCCTGCAGCTTACAGCATTAGTCCCTCCCTGACAGGCACAAGTGATTCATCCTTCTTCATCACTCCTGATGCTCAGTCCACACACCTCCAGTAATGACTTGCCCCTCCATATTTTCCTGGGTTCTTGCTTCACTTTACTTGGCTCTGCAATTTTCATTTGATCAGCTCAGGGTGACAGGAATTGCTGCTGGTGCAATGGTTTGCGCAGGTGGACTAATCTGATCCGCATCAGTGGCACAGACCATAACCTTGTTAGCCTGCTGTAGCTAGTTAGTAATGCTTTATAATCAATTCTAGCTGAAAAATTACGGAAACTGGGAAAATGGGTCTACTCTGAAGCCTGTGACATTGCAGCTGTCTCTTGTTCCTACTTGCAGCTGGTATTGCCTGGTAACAGTTTGTCTCTGTTACAAGGGTGATCCCTGAATTTCAGATGAAAAGAGGAGCTGCTGTGCTGAGCGCAGCACCAAAGCAAAGGTGACTTGCAGAGCCTTTCAGTGGATTGCTGAATGGTGCTGGAGGAAAAAGTCCTGCCGCATGCACCGTCCCCTCGCCCTGTAACTAGGGCCACCTCTGAGGCTTGGGGCGAGGGATCCCAACCCTCAGTCATTGCCATGCCCCAGCGGTCCCAGCGCTGCCACCCCTTGCCCCCGGCTGACGCGCTCTCCCCCTTCATTCCCTGGCAGCGTCTGCAGCAGATGACACAGCCCAAGCCAGAGATGCACGCTCAGAACAACGGCCTTCAACCGAAGACGTCCTTGAACGGGAGAGTCTTGGATGCTGCCGTCTAGGATGAGAGTCTGGACCTCCTCGCCCTGCCCCATAGCTGCTCGCACCACGTTGTCCCTCGAGCTCCTCCGGCACGGCTCGCTATCCCTGGCTTCGCGGTGGCTTTTGCTTGTCAAAGAGAGGACCTGGCGGAGGAACCCTCTTGCGTCTCTTCCTCCCGGCCCAGCTTACCAAGGCCCTGCACAAGCTGCCGCCAGGGTATTGTGTGGTGACTGTCTTCATCCTGCAACATCCTGGTCCAGGCGCTCAGGGAGGAGCAGCTGGTGCCCAGGTCTTCCTCCTCATGACAAGAGGTGATGTTTCTAGAGAGCTTAGACTGATTGCTGACCACTTCTCTGTTCTTTTTCTTGCATTTTCATGTGAACCTCCACAGAGCATCCCATAGCACACAGCTGTGCTGTCACCCCAGAGAGACAGCTGACACCAGGTTCAAATCCCAGACAGCTGTCAGTTGATCTAGCATGAACCAACACTAGCAAATGCATAACTGGAGGAGATGTGGTAGAATGAGGGATTCCAGTGAGGAGTCCAGCATTCTGGTAGCTGTAGGATGTCACCCCAAAACTGGAGAAGGGCATCAGGACAGTGTGTGCTGCTCACAGGTGCTCTCTTTCAGCCCTGCGCAGTCTCCAGCCATTTTCACTGCATCCACTGGGGCTGGCACTGTGAGCCAGAGCCCAGCAGAGTAGGCAGCCTTTTTCTTCTGGAGCATCCTGCCCACTGCAGCTGTGTGCAGTAGCCACTCCCTGACCCTAAAATGCAGTTAAAAGGGTAAGTGGAGGGCTCTTTGCTAGAGGCTGTCCAAGTCTCCTACACTGACCACTCTCTGCTGCAATCAGCTTTGTGCAGAGGCAAGAGCCCTGCTGTGTGATGGGGAGACTTTCCAGCACTGTGCAAATCTTCCCCTCAGCTGGAACAGGTTAGGTCCTGCCAAACACCCTCCCTGGCTGCATCCCCGGGTGGAAAGCAGTAAGATGTAGTGTAGTGCCCACAGGTGGTTTAGCTTGTATCTTTTTTGAGAAGTGGCAACACCTAAATCCCAGCCGGTGGAAGGTAGGAGCTCCTGGGAGAGCTGGTAGGACGTAGCCACCACGCTTAAACCCACTCCTGTGAACCAGCGCTGACTTCCCTTGGGAAGTGTCTGTACAGGCAGCTGCTGGCGCTGGCACATCCCGATGCCCAGCACACACATCACAGGGGAATGTGAGCTGTCGTAGATGATGCTGGAGGAGTGTATAACGCCTTGGAGAAGGCTGGGAAGTGTTTCAGAGCAGTCCTAAAGCAGCAGCATATTTATTGGTTATAAAGCCTTGGGAAAAGAGGTGGCTCATCATAGCACCACATGCAGGTGTGACAGTGACGCCGCCGTTTGTGACAGCCTCACAATGACCCCATGCAGAGATACTCATGTACTCAGAGCATTTGATGAACACCTGTCATAGATGTGCACACATGATGTGCCTTAGTGCAAATTAGTCTCTCCCCCTCCCTTGGCACCCTGACAGCAATGTGAGGTCTGCCTGCACTCCCAGGTTCAGCTCAGAATCAACAAATTCATAAATGAGTATCATCCAAGAAAAGGTACGTCCCACTCATGTGTCCTACCAAAGGGTCAGGTCTGGTAGGTGACATGCTGAAGTCCCCCAGGGGTCCCACCGCAGACACCCGCTGAGTGATGAGCCTTTGCACAATTGCCCTGCACTCTGGTAGGAGCTGCAAAATGGTGCAGGTTGGCCCCATGCTGCCTGTCCCGGGGACCAGTCCGTGCACAGGGCCAACCTGCTCTTCCACTGATCTGCCAGCCTGAGGATCAGTAATGTAAAGAGGAAAACAGTTGTCTGGTTAAAGCTGAAGTCAGTCACCTCTGAGGTTGGATCCCCTGTATATTCATCAATGCTTCTTGATTGACGTTGCTTTAGATGTGTATGTGCAATACGCAACCAATGTGCAACCAATTTGTATTTGTACATATGGCACATGTCCTGGCTCTTAGCAGTCGTGGCTGACAGGCTTTGAGTGCATGTTTTGCAGTCTCCAACACCACGAGCTGAGATCACGCCCTGTCCCACATCTAATCGTCAGGGTGTTTGCATCAAAAAAATCGTAGGTGTTAAATAGACATGAGGAAATGCTGTATTTACAGGCTTGATCTTGTAAAGCCAAAAGCCAAACACTGAAAGCTGCAATCATAGTCCATCACAATTAATCTCAGCCAGTCACAGACATGTCATCTTGCCTTGTCCTGTAGCTGCCAGCACTAGTATAGCTGAAATTTTCTATTCCACTTTCACCTATTTTTATTAACCAGAGGATAAAGGAAACCACTCTTTATATACATGTATGTCCTCTCAGAGGGACGTCTGTGTTGAAAACACGTTAACCTCTGATCTTTGCAGTAATGACCTTTACTAGAAACCTGCATTTGCCTGTGTATCCAAGTCACGTAACCTCCCTCCCCTTAAATGCAGACTGGGAGTTGCGCAGGTGCTTGATGGGCAATGAAGTCAATTCTTGAGCAAGGCCTCAAGACCATGGAAGACCCTGATTTTTCCACCTTCATTGGGGCAGCTCAGGTCTGAGGTAGAACAACTTTGTGTCAGTGGTCATTTTTTAAACTCTTGGCCAAAGAGCTCAGTTGCTGGGAGAGCTGTTCAAAGGGTTGTACCATCCAGGTTGTTTCTTCACAGGAGTGGAGAAGGAAGGGTCAGAAAACAAAGTCCCTTCCCTGCTGGCTGAGGAAATCTCTCAATCTCCAGTTCCTTTTTGCTGGGACTTTAGTCCCCGCATCTCACTTGTGGCCTTGTGCGTGGCAGGTGCAAAACATCACTCCAGATGTAGAAGCAGGGGCTACCCTGCACATGGGCTGCTCATAATAACAGTATTTGATGAGATTTAATAATTTGCTCTGTTTCCTGCCTGTGAACTTCTCCTTTCTCTCCCTCCTGCCCTGTTCCTTCTCATTTTCTTGCCTCACTTCTTCCCCACTATCATCCGTCCAGTGGAAATGATCTACCTCAGCTTACTTTTTCCTGCTTTTTCCTTCCACTACTGTCAAATTACAGCTCTCCCTCTTTTCTCTTCTTTCTATTATTTCCTCATTTCCATCTTTCTCAATTATTATCAGCCTCACTTCCCTGCTTCTCTCATGCACTCACCTTCCAGCCTTATTACTTATTCCTGTGTGCTGGTGGCTCAGCTGCTCACTGTGCCCATGCTCAACCCTTCTGCCTGCTGAAAGCTGGAGCTCAGGACCCCATGGAGGAGTTCAGCTTTTTGAAGGATCCGGTCCCTAAGAACCAATTTCCATCCCAATATCAAAATTATAATGAAGTTCCAGCTATCTTCTCTCCCTCTTTGCACCAGAAAATGCTGTGCCAAGCAATGCTATCTCTTGGTATTACTAGAAGACACATTTCAACCCATATTCCACCAGTTTCTGCAGAGCTGCTCCTGTTCTAAAAGATTTTGTGGCCTTTCCTGTTTTTGCACTATTTTATTTCCACCATGAATGTTTGGATCTGCAAAGTCTGGCATTCGTAGCCTTGAAGGGAGGAATTTGCCCTTAGTCAAGCTCTGTCTGATTAACTGACCCCCTTCTCCAGCCTTTCAAACTCATCCCATCCTTAGTGCAAGAGGAGCCTTCCCACCTCCATCCCATGCAGGTTTCCCGTCCAGTGAGAAGGCAGGGATGGGGATGGCCCCACGCTTCAGAAATGCCACTATGGGCAGGTCCAGTGAAGCAGCCATATCTGCATGATGACTTTTTGACATCGGGGTTCGGATACCAGCTGAAAGGCACGTGCAGCACTCGGTGCCAGTGACTCCTCCGTCAGAACAGCTTTTGTACCGTTCCCAGAGTGTGTCCGTTCTGCTGACCACCACTCTGCTCCTCCTCGTTCCTTTTGGCTCACCCAGCAGAGAGGATATGTGCATGGCCAGGGAGTGGGGTGCTCCCCTCTCCCCCATGCTGCAGTTCAGAGGGGGCTTCTGCTCCCCTGTGCTCACCTACAGCACTCCTGCCCCTCTCCTCCCCAGCACCTGCCTGCCTCTCCCTCCCACCACGGGCAGCTGCTCAAAATAATCCCCCATGAAACCTCTTAATTCTAAGGAGCTATTTAGGGAGCTGTGCTCAAATCCCTCTGAAATCCTCTTTTTCCCGAAGGCTGTGAAAAATAAAATAAATGCCATTGCCCCCACTCTTTGCTGTAGCAGCGGGGGCTGAGGGGGGGCAAGGGGAAAGTCAGGGCTGTTTCGCTGCTGCTCAAGTGCTGCTTCCCCTGGAGATGCGGGTGCGATCCTCTCCCCCGGGAGAGGGGAGCTCTTCCTGTTGCCATTCTCCCAGATGTGCTCCAACAGCTGGCAGCTGGTTGTAAAACATTTGTGCAATGTCCACAACACAATACCGATGCAGTGTGGCACTGTAAGGCTTCGGCTAGCTGATCGCCACGTAACTTGTAGTCTCTCCACAACTCTATTATATGACGTGTTGGGCGCAGTTGTGCTGGGGGCGGGGGGGCTGCCCTGAAAGCCAGTGTCATTCTGGATGAGCAACTTGTTGTTATCCCTCTCCTGTCCCAGGGAGATTCTCTCTGGATTAGGGGACCCTGGTTGCATTTTGTGGTGATGGCCAAATGGGGAGGGGGTCTGTGGCACTAAAGGGAATGTCCACTGTGGCTTTGCTTGTACTGAGGGCTACCAGCCCATGCACGGCGATGGAGCTTGCACCAAGCACACTGCCTGCTTTCCTCAGGAGCTGAGCACATGAACCACAGTGCTCAGCACTGAATGCCAATCCTGGCACTGGAGGCCACGCGATGTGCCCATACAGCATGGTTTTCCTCTCCCGATGTCTGATCCTGTCTCTGTACAATGGCAGCTATTAGTCAGAGTCCATCTGAGCATCTCAGGGTTAGGAAGAGAAAGCCTAGAAACTCTGAAACCTGCTGATGAGACCTGGGAGCTAGCTCTTACAAAGGAGTGCAAGCACCATTCTGATCATTGC